AACGTCACTAGCTTGACGAAATTGCGCTATCCAAAATTAGGGAGGGTCAAGGCACACCTTTTTGACCCATCTCATTGTTCCCACACACTTGCCATTTTCCTTAGGCAAAATAATCACATTGCTATCATCACTAGAAATGCAACCAAACATCTTGTCTATCAACTTGATCTTGTTTTTCTTTTTCTTCTTGGCCCTCTCTTGCTTTTTCACCTCCGGAGCATGAGTCGATTCATCTTGTGACTCCTCCATGTCTTCTTTCAAAATTTTAACCAAAACATCAACCCGATGAACTTGTTTAACCATGGGGTCATTCAACGTTTCCGGAAATGAGAAAGAGATTCTTTCATGCCCAACATGTAAGGTAAGTCGCCCTTGTTTCATGTCAATATTAACACCCGCGGTTTTCAAAAAGGGCCTACCCAATATGATAGGAATTTTGAAATCCTCATCCATCTCCATGATTACAAAATCACAAGGCACAAGAACCTTCCCCACTTGAATTGGGATGTCCTTCAAGACTCCCAATGGGACTTTAACCGAGCGGTCGGCTAGTTGGATTGACATTTTGGTGGGGCTAATCTCCCCAAGATTTAATCTTTTTGCCATAAAGAGAGGCATAAGGCTAACACTAGCCCCAAGATCACACAAAGCATTTGTTGATTCAAGATCTCCAACCTTAACCGGTATAGCAAAACTACCGGGGTCACCAAACTTCTCGGGAAGCTCATTTTGAGGAATAGCACTTATCTCCGTTGGAAGAGAGATAGAATCACTCTCCTCAAGCCTACTCTTGTTAGAAAGAATATTTTTCAAAAACTTTGCGTATGTAGGCATTTGAGACAAAGCATGGAGAAGTGGAATGTTTGATTGAAGTCCTTCCATTTCATCAAGGAACTTAGAAAGTTTCTCATTTAGCATCTTCTCTATCATTCTATGAGGGAATGGAATATGAGGCTCATATGCTCTCAATGGAGCTTGACTCTTCACTTCTCCCTCATCTCTCTTTGAGGCACCCTCATCACTCATTTTTGACCTTCCTCTCGCCTCCTCACTCACTTCATTTTCAAACTCACTTTCATCTACCCAACTATCTCCCTCATCTCCCTTTTTGGCAAAATTTTCTCTCATAATTGGAGTTTCATACCCCCCTTCCATAATCAAGGTGATTGATTTCGCTTGCTCTTTTGGATTCATTACCGTTGTGCTTGGAAAGTGACCACTAGGATTGGAGGATGAACTTCCAACTTGTTGTGCAATTTGAGCCAATTGGCCCTCCATTATCTTATTATGTGCTTGGAGTTGTTGGATGTTTGCATTCATCTCCGCATTGTTCCTTATTTGTTGAGTCATGAAAGTTTCAAGAACGGACTCAAGGCTAGTCTTTTGAGGAGGTGGAGGAGGAGGAGCGGGTTGGTTATATTGTGATCTTTGGTGGTTTTGATCCCTTTGGTTGGGATGGCGGTATGGAGCTTGTTGGTTTTGTGATTGAGGTTGGTTGTAGTGGTTTTGAGGTTGGGTTTGATTTTGGTTGTAGTTATTTTGTGGGGGGCCTTGGTTGTATTGCTTCCATCCCGTGTTATGTTGGGGCTTCCAACTTTGATTGTGGGATTGGGAGTATTGTTCATTCCTTTGCCCAATTTCCGCCGCTTGCTCTTGATTCGTTGAGTTGCAATAAGAGGACAAGTGATCATTTCCTCCACAAGTCTCACAAGACATGACTTGCGAGGAAGAGCTTGAGGGTGTGAGGGTGGCTTGATCTAGCTTGTGAGCTAGCATATCAAACTTTGATGCAATAAGATCTATTGCACTAAGATCATGAATTCCGCCCTTCTTTGTTTGAGGTTGCCTTCTATCACCTCCATATGCATAATGCTTGGCCACTTCTTCAATCATCTTGTATGCATCGTCCACCGATAGCTTTTTGAGGCTACCACCGGCCCCGGAATCAAGGTTGGCCCTTGAAATAGGAGTAAGACCGTCATAGAAGCTTTGTACAATGATCCATGATGTAAAACCATGGTGGGGGCATTTCCTTGTGTAATCTTTGAAACGCTCCCAAGCTTCACTCAATGTTTCATCAATGTCTTGATTGAAATTGGTGATCTTTCTTCTTAGTTCGGCGGTCTTTTCCGGAGGACAATACTTTCCAAGAAAGGCTCTAGTGACTTCGTCCCATGTACTCAATGATCCCTCTTCAACCGTTCTCAACCAATGTTTTGCTTTATCACGGAGGGAGAATTGAAACATGTGCATACGGATGAACTCTTCCGAAATGTTGTTTTGCTTGATAGTTGTACACAACTCAAGAAAGTTGTCCAAATGAGCAAAAGGACACTCATGAGGACTACCTCCGAATTGATCGCTTTGAATCATACGGATGAGTTGAGGTGAAAGTTCAAAGTTGTTTGCATTTGTGGTGGGAAGACGTATGCCACTCCGAAGTTGGAATGCGTTGGGGTGGTCATAGTCTCTTAACAATGGTTGAGGAGGATTCTCTCCCATGTTATCTTCTTCGTTAGTTCCAAAAACCTCTTCCGGATCGGAATCCGAATATACAATGGAAAACTCGGGTGTGCCTTGCAAGAGTCTCCTCACGTTTCTCAAAGTCCTATTTAGCTCTGGATCAACGGGAATAAGCGGTGATTGCTTACTCTTTCGTGTCATGCAAAGTCAAACAAAGCTAAGAAAAACGTTAGCAATGACTATCGCAATTTAAACACACATAAACAAAAATTAAGGTAAGAAAACTACTATACATATACACACATCTAGTCTCATTCAACAATAATACATTCAATGTGACTTTGCCTCCCCGGCAACGGCGCCAAAACTTGATAGGCCGTCGTCGAGCCTACCAAAGATAATAATTCCTATCTTGGTCTCACTAACAATAGTAAGGGTAAGAAAGGGTCGAACCCAAGAGAGGCGTTGAATCAACCACCGAGTACTACCGTTTAAATAAGCTAAACGAATTCTAAATTGGGTTGGTTTTTAGTAACTTCTTCTAACACAATTCAACTAAGCTAAGAGGAGGTTAACAATATTAAGAGGAATCTAGGGCTTGGGTTATACCACTCAACTTCATCACAAATCACAATTAGCATGCAACAATCAAGGTAAATTAATGGGATAAATTAGGGGAAGTCATCTAAAGCACCCAACTACTCTCTCAAGCTAGAGGGATTACTTGAATCATGAATACGACCTACTCTCGTGGTTACATAGCATAAAACAAGTGTTAAAGCATAATCACGATGACATAAACATTCCCTTGACCGGTAATCCCTATTCTCATGGCATTTCGGGTCAATCAAGCATAAGGGAGCTAACTCAAGTTCATCTCTCGATCCTTCGTTGAGAAAGCTTGGATAAATAGTTCTAGCAATGGCCATATACAAGAACTAAGCAATTAAACCACTTAAGCTCAACTAATTAACATCCCACAACAACCAAATTAGCACATGCAACAAGTAATTAGTGACTACATTGAGGGTTTTGCCCAAACCCTAGAATTTAGACTACTCACAATCCATGGGGGTTAAAGCAATTAAAGATTTCAAGCAATTCATGAACAAATTCAAACTAAGGATTAAGCTAATTAACAATCCAAAACATGCAAGAACTAGCAAATAATTAACAACAAAGTAAAGAGAAGTAGAAAAGATGAGTAAGAAATGGTTACTATGAAGCTTCAAGGTGAGCAACAATGGTGGATTTTGTCTTCTACAATGATTGAAATTGAATAATTCCAAGCTAATAATTGAGAACTAACTAATGATTTGAGAATTTAATGTTCTAAGACTACAAACTAAGAGAAAAGCTCTGAAAAACTGCCTCCCCCGTACAAATGAGCTCTAAAGGGGTATTTATATGACCCCCAAATAAAAAGGACGGAGAAAACAAGGAAGGAGTTCGACTGCAGGTCTGCACGGACGTGCCAGATTTGGCACGGACGTGCAAGGCTAAGCACGGCCGTGCCAAGTTTGGCACGGACGTGCAGAGGGGGCAGAATTGAGGCAGAACGTACTGCTAAGAATCGAGCAGTTTCGCACGGACGTGCAGATATTGGCACGGACGTGCAGCTACATCTGCACGGACGTGCTTAATTTGGCACGTCCATGCAGGCCTTGGCAGAATGTTCTGAGTTTCTGGAGCACTTCTGCACGGACGTGCAAAGTCTGGCACGGTCGTGCACCCTCTTCTGCACGGACGTGCCAGATTAAGCACGGCCGTGCAGGCCTTGGCAGCTTGCTGAAGCTTTCTGGAACCTCCTGCACGGTCGTGCAAGGTCTGGCACAGCCGTGCAGGGTCTTCTAAACCCCTTTTTTCATCTTTTCTTCTATAATGCTCCTTTCCTTGGCTTCTTTCATCCATCTTCTTGCTTCTAACCTCGGCTTTGTATCCATGGGCTCCATTTGGTCGTTCTTTTGAACCTAGAATCTCAACAAAAACACCAACAACCCGTGAAGCATAGGATACACAAGAATTGCATAATAATAGAGTAAAAATGAACCAAAACGCAATTTATATCAAGTAAACTAGGTTCAAAACACCCTAAAATCGTATCAAATAGCAAGTTATCAGTGAACAAGTTCTACCAGCAGTTCGCTACCAGCAAAGAGTTGGAAAAGCAGAGCAGTGACCTGTACCGAGTCATCTAGAAGCAGAATGAGACGACCAAGCAATATTAGGACAGGTTCCATAGAGAGATGGTCAACATCAAGAACTGCAATCATTCGACTGCCATAGATGCATTCTGCAAGGGTCTCAATTACCGTTCTAGGTTATATTATGAGTTGACCAGATACCCTTGTGCCTCTTTTGAGGAAGTCAAAACCAGGGCAATGGCTGAGGTCCGTGTAGGAGAGGACGAGCAAGCAAGAAACCTGGTTTAGAAAAGGCCATTTGGATATTCCGGAAACCAAAATTCTAGACCCAGGCAGAGTAACTAGCGTGATAATCCAAGGCGCAACAACGTAAGCAGTGTGTCAGATCCAAAAATGGGCGAAGGCTCCAGCAGGCCGGAACCAGAAGATCATCCTAACATCAATTCGTACGGTTTTGATACCGATATAGTTGGAGTAGTCAATGCTCTTAAGGAAATTGGGCAACCTATAAGGTGGCCTAGAAAGAGCGATATGCCAGACCACTAATAAGATAAATCTAGGTAGTGTGAGTATCATGGAGGTCATGGGCATAGAACCGATGAATCCAATGGTCTGAAAAGAGAGGTAGGCCGGTTGCTTAAAAACAGTTACCTGAAAGATTTCCTAAGCAAGAAAGGAAAAGGATCTGAAGTCAAAAGAGAAGCCCTACAAAGTCCGCCAGCTTCACCTTCACCCAATGTCGTAATCGGCGCTATATCAGAAGGATATAACATAAGCGGAATGACCTATTCCAATGCAAAAAAGATAGCAAGGGTCGGCATGTCAGCTTCCAGCATCCCTCAAACCTATCCCAGCAGAGAAGAGAAAGTGTTAGACGAAATGAAGATAATATTTGATGAAAGAAGATTCAATGAGCCAGAACATCATGATTGCCTGGTTATCTCCCTCCATGTTGGTCATTGCAAAATGAAAAGGGTGCTGGTAGATAATGGAAGCTCGACTAATATAATATTCAGAAATGCCTTAAATCAAGCCGGGTTTAGAGAGTCAGATATCAACAAGAGGTCTACGGTCCTGGTCGGGTTCAATGGTGAAGCCATGAATCCCTTGGGAGAAATCCAGTTGCCAACCTTTCTGAAGGGCGTCAATACGATGCACAAGATCTATGCGGTAGATTGCAAGACTGCCTATAATGTGATAGTGGGAACCCCGTGGATCCATAAAATGAAGGCTATCCCATCAACCTATCATTAGCTGCTGAAATTTCCAAGTCCGTGGGGGTAGCAATAGTCAAAGGAGATAGAAAGCAAGCCAGAGAATGCTACCAGATCGCCATGAAATCCCATGGGCCCTCAATCTAACAATTACAACATAATCCAGCACTTGGACACCTAGATGAGCTGCAATTAGATGAAGTGGTGCTGGATGAATCCAAGCCAGATCAGATAGTTAAGATCGGAGCAGCATTACCTGCTGATCAGAAGGAAGCCATCATAAAGTGCTTGAGGGAGAATTCAGATTGTTTTGCTTGGTCTCATCAAGATATGAAAGGAATCAGTCCAGAAGTCATTACTCACAAGCTCAATGTAGATCCCAGCATGAAGCCAGTGAAGCAGAAGAGAAGGAAATTCGCACCAGAGCGTAACCAGATTATAAATGAAGAGGTGAAGAAGTTGCTAGATACTGGTAAGATAAGAGAAGTCAAGTATCCAGATTGGCTAGCTAATGTGGTCGTCGTCAGCAAAAAGAATGGAACTTGGAGAGTCTGCATCGACTTCACATATCTAAATAAAGCATGCCCCAAGGACCCGTTCCCCCTGCCTCATATAGATTCCATGGTAGATGCTACAGCCGGGCACAAGCTGCTTACATTCATGGACGCATATTCAGGTTACAACCAGATCCTAATGCATCAAGATGATCAAGAGAAGACCGCCTTCGTGACAGATAAAGGAATCTACTACTACAAGGTGATGCCGTTCGGGTTGAAGAATGCTGGTTCTACCTATCAAAGGCTAGTCAACAAGATGTTCAAGGACCAGCTGGGGGACACCATGGAAGTCTACATTGACGATATGTTGGTGAAGTCGAAGAAAGTAGCTGACCAGTTAGACCACCTGAACGAAGCTTTTGGTGTGTTGAGGAAGTATGAGATGAAGCTGAACTTATCCAAGTGCTCATTCGGAGTATATGCAGGTAAATTCCTGGGCTTTGTAGTAACTCAAAGAGGAATCGAGGCTAGCCCAGATCAGGTACGCGCCATTATTAATCTTCAATCACCTAGAAATCTTAAAGAAGTTTTAAAAATTGACAGGTAGAGTAGCCGCGTTAAATAGATTCATCTCGAGGTCGTCAGATAAATGTCATTTGTTTTACAACGTTTTAAAGAAAAATAAAAGAAGGTCCTCCGGGACCTAAAACTCTATTTAACGTCGCCTCCTTTGTTATCCGAACCTGCTGAAGGAGAGTCTTTACAACTTTACCTTGCTGTTGGCACACAAGCTGTGAGTGTTGTCTCGACAAGGGAAGTTGAAAGTCCGCAATTACCTGTCTACTGTGTTAGCAAAACTCTCCTTAGTGCTGAAACCAGATACTCATAACTTGAAAAGCTGGGATTAGCACTAATAGAAGCTTACAAGAATCTACGTCATTATTTTGAAACTTACCCAATAGTGGTGAAAACTAACTACCCTTTCAAGGTTGTGCTACGCAGACCAGAATTGACAGGTCGAATGAGCAAATGGGCAATTGAACTAAGTGGATTCGACATCAAATATGAGCCAAGAACAACTATAAAGTCGCAAGCTCTGGATGACTTTGTGGCTGACTTCAGCCCTGACCTAGAACAGCAAGCAGCTCAAGAAGTAAAGCAGATCACTCAAATCGCAGACCCAGGAACCTGGACCTTGTACGTCGATGGATCATCCAATTTTCGAGGTGCAGGTCTTGGTGTAGTGCTAAAGTCGCCACAGGGGGACATGATGGTACAATCTATCTGTTGTAATTTTAAAGCTACTGACAATGAAGTGGAATATGAGGCTTTGATTGCAGGAATGAACCTAGCAAGAAATCTTGGAGCTTCCGAATTGCAGGTGTTCTGTGATTCTCTTCTAGTAGTAAGTCAAATGAACGGTGAATTTGCAGCTAAAGATTCCAAGATGATCTTATACCTAAACTTCGCCAAATCTCTAGCAGCCAAGTTCACTACCTTTTCCATTAAACAAATACCTAGAGACTGGAACACATAAGTAGATGCCCTGGCCAACCTAGGATCAACTTTAAGAAAATCCAAGTTCTCATCCATTCCTTTAATCCACCTACTAGCACCTACCATCAACACAGATAACCAAACATCAAAACCCATCAATCCAGATTTCGCCAAGCCAGAGCCCAACAGTTCAAAAATTCCCAAACCTGCTCCATCCAAACCTGTCAAAGGTGAACCTACCGAACATAATATTGTTGCACCTGTAGCAAATTAAACCAGCTGGATCCAACCTATCTTTAATTACCTAGAGTATGACACCCTACCTGAAAACAAAGCTGAAGCAAGAGCACTCAGATTCAAAGCATCCAAATATGTGATCATCCAAGGTGCTTTGTTCAAAAAATCAACCAGACTACATTGAAGAAGATAGATACGAAAAGATACTCAAGGACTTTCACGATGGAGAATGTGGAGCTCATTCAGGTGGGAGAACTCTAGCTAACAGGATATTAACCTACGACTACTACTGGCCAACAACGCGTAATGATGCACACAAGTATGTAAGTAAGTGTGACAACTGCCAACGCAACTCAGGTATCACTCACAAACCCTCTGAACCTTTGCACCCTACTTTAACACCATGGCCTTTCATGAGATGGGGCATGGACATAGTCGACAAGCTGCCTCCTGCCCCAGGTCAAAAGGTCTATATGTTGGCTCTAAAAGATTACTTTTCTAAGTGGAAAGAAAAAGAAAAAGAAGTTATCAACTTCATCTGGACTAACATAATCTGCAGATTCGGTGTACCATCTGAAATTATCTGTGATAATGGATCCCAGTTCATAAGCGCCCCAACAAGACATTTTGTGATAAATGGAACATCACTCTTATTACCTCAATGCCCAGATATCCACAAGCAAATGGACAAGTTGAATCTAGCAACAAAGTAATCATCGGCTCTTTGAAGAAGAAGCTGAAAGCAAGAAAGGGCAAGTGAGCAGAAGAATCTCCAAGGATCCTATGGCCCAACAGAACCACACCAAGGACAGCTACAGGTCAAACCCCTTTCTCACTGGTATATATGGATGCGAAGCAGTGTTACCTGCAGAAGTCACCACTCCAACAGCCATGTATGGCCTGCTGACTCCAGAGCGCAACAACAAAGAGTTGTCACATGAACTGGATACCGTTAAAGTACGAAGAGACCTGGTATACATAAGGATGGCCACCTATCAGCAGATGGTGGCAAGAAGCTTCAACAAGAATGTGAAAGCCAGGATGTTCAAAGTAGGAGATTGGGTTCTACGAAAAGTATTCCAGAACACCAGAGAGCTCAATGCAGGTAAACTGGGGGGAACTTGGGAAGGCCCATACCAGATTGAAAGAGTAGTTGGCAAAGGGGCCTACTGGTTAGCCACACCACGGTAAGCTAGTACCCAGAAGCTGGAACACAGCTCATTTGAAGCCTTATCATTTCTAAGATTACCCCCAAGTTATTCATTATATATATATATACACAAAAATATTTTTCATTTATTGCCTTTATTTTTGTAAGATCAGTACTAACTTAAGCATCAGAGGGTCGTTGGTGGCAACACCAACGGTCAGCTCTAACCTGCTGTTTTGTAGGATCAAAGAAAACAAATTAAGTACCAAGTACAACCCAGAGCTGCAAAGGAACAAAGACGAAACAAAAATATAAAGTAATCTCAAACTTTGTCCATTTGTCTTTGTTTTTTTTTTTATACAACTCGTACTGACTTAAGCATCATAGGGCCGTTGGCTATGCCAACGTCCACCCCTAACCCTTGTGATGCACGTACAACTTCAACCTGCCTAAGATGCAAATGAACCACGGGCCTAGACGCCGGATACAAAAAAATCCAAAGCAAAAAACCAAAAGCAATCAGAAACAAAGCTCAAAGTGCAACGAAGGTAAAAGTCAAAGCCTATCACTAGGCGATATATGTAAATGGACACCGGTTCAAAACCCCCATATAGCACCGGTTTTGAACCGGTCCAAATTTGAGGGATGCCAAAAACCAAATACTTTCGCATCAGTTCAAAACCGGTGCCAATTCTTGTTTTTTGCACCGGTTAACCAGTGCCAATTCTAAGCTTTCGCACCGGTTAACCGGTGCTAAAAGTGTATTGCCGCGTTTTTTTTTTGTAGGATTAATAACAATTGGCACCGGTTCGGTTCAAAACCGGTGCCAATAATGCCCCAAAAAAATAAAAAAATATTTTTTTTTTTTTTTTTTTTTGCATTTTTTCCACTTAAATTGATATAGAAACATTAACATATATATAAAGTTACATATTTTCATTAAAAAAGGTTTGCATTTTTTTCACTTAAATTGATATAGAAATACTAACATATATATAAAGTTACATATTTTCATTAAAAAAGGTTGTAATATTACAATTTTCGTCAAAAAAATGAAAAATTACAAATTTAGAGAGACCAAAATAGCAGAACAGCATCAACACAGTGGTGGAGCAGCAGTAGCTATAGGGCAGCAGTATTTGCACCCTTACCAGACCAGCTGTAGCAACAGCCTCGGCAGGGCAGAGCACAAGTAGCTGTAGCTCTAGCAGATCAGATAGTGAAGTAGCAAAGGCGGCATGGTCGGTGGCAGGAGGGAAGCAGCATGGCAGCATATTCAAGTCTTTCAATAAATCCAAAACACAGCACAGAAAATCAAATACAAAACTAATATAAGAACTAAAGCAGAGGAAACAAAGAGCAGCTTAAAAAATTCACCCTAAATAGACAGGACCTTATTAACATACCAAGAACAAAGAGCAATCAATCCACGAAGTTTTACTAAGATATGGCACACTTAGTAGCAGATTCACACCAGTCCACACTCATATATACTACCCATCAACTAGACAACTACCAATCTATTAATCTTTCAATTCAGCCACAATAACAAATTTTAGCGCATTCAAAGAAAAAACAAATCAATAACACTTGAGCAGGCAAATCAGATCAATCGAAACCAATAACAAACTAAACAAGAAGACTAATTGAACTAAACAAACTAAACCAACAACAAACACAACCTCACAACCATTCAAACAATCCAGGGGTTTTTTTTCATCCAAAAACTTCTCAAACTGTGTTACCTCAACGGACAAACCGGAGCAAATCACAGTGAGAAGTTGTACGATGAAAGTGAGTCCCTTCATCATATGGATTATCCTAGTGTAACTATTTACGACCAAGGGACTCAACGCATTGGTTTGTTATATTGGGGTCAGTTAAAAAGGGACATAGTCAAGGAGTATATTCCAAGCAACATTAATCAAGGGACATAATCAAGGAACATATTCCAAGGAACATTAAACGATGGACATAATTAAGGGACATATTCCAAATAACATTAATCAAGGGACATTAAAAAGGGACATAATCCAAGAAACTCAGGCCACACACCAACATCAATAGCAACAACAACAACATATCACAATCATACATCCCCTGGCTAGCAACAGATCACAGTTGCTGGCAACCATTTATCAACAAGCAACACACAATCCTCCATCAACAAGCACTTGATAAATTTGAGCTCAGATAATACTTTGTACAGTATATATAATTAGGGTCAGATTATCATGAAAATGCAGAAAAATTATCAAGAGACATCCTTTACCTCATCATCATCAAACTCATCACCATACCTAACCTTCGCATCGCCACAATACCCGGGTTAAATCCCATACCCAAGTTCGCTCCACTGCACATTAGTAATTTGAAAGCTCAGAAACACGGATCTACATAATTTCAAGAAATACTGGCAATTAAATGTTGTCAAAATTCAGTAATTTGTGGTGCGTTAGGGAACAAAGTTCACCAAACAAGCCTTATGAACACCCCAACCAAATGTTTCTCAAGCCTGTTTTTAGGAGAAAGCAGAGGTGAACCAGCGGCTTCTGACTTGAATACACAAGAAGAAGAGAAAGAATATGAATTGAATCCAATAACAAGTCGAAAACAAATTACAATTAAGGATAGAAAAGAGAACACAAAATAGGGAAATCAAGAGACGACGAGTTGAACGGCGGTGGCGAACCAGAGGAAGAAGATGAAAGGTTCAACAAAAACCCTAATTAATAAACTAACCAACCATAGATTTAGATCCAAAATCTTCTTAACATAACAAAATTGCAAACCCTAGACGATGAACAACAATAATAGCGAGGAACCGCAAATCTCATTGAATTTCGAATATCAACACAACAAATCAACTTGATTCACAAACATTAAAACCCCCAAAATCAGAATCAATTCAGAATCAAGCTTCAACTCCGCGTAACCTAACGTAAAATCAATTTGAAAAACAACAAATTAACAGATCTTGAATGAACAGAGAATACAGAGCAGCAGATTAAAGAGGAAGAGATAGTAAAAATGGTGGGATTCGAGCCCTCAAAATCGGCTCAAAATCGCAGCCCTCATAGAAGATGAAGAAGAATGAAGGAGGAGTAAGAAGCTAAGGTAGGGCGAAAAAAAAAACAAGTACGAAATAGAAAGAAAGAAGAGGGGAAATAGAAAGAAGGAAAAGGGATTTTTTTTAATTACAATTGGCACCAGTTAACCGGTGCCATTGCTCTTACACTAAATCCCGCCTTGTTTTTTTCCCACCAGTTTTCAAGAACCGGTGCTAATTTGTGTTTTTCTACTAGTGTATATCATTAAAAGGAACCTAGCATCTAGAGTTCAAAGGCAAAATCATAAAACCTTTACTCCCGTGAGCAAAGTAAAACACAAGTTCAAAGACACCAAAAGTAAAATGTTTTAAAACAAGAGTAAATATAAGAACGCATAATCCGAGCTAAGCCTAAGGACCATCTTTCCCCTCTTCAACACCCTCAGTTGTAACAACAACATTGTGACCTGGAGAAGACTCGGCAGTGGACTTCTCAGGATCAAGCTCATCAACCTTGAACTCCTGAGAAGCTAGGTCCTTGATAGATACAATAGACAGATAGTCATCCACTAGCTGTCGAAGCTTCTTCGTTCCTGGTTCACCAACATACTTGTTCATCAGGAAGCCATTAGCCATGTAAGCCTTGATCTTCACGGTGGCTAATGCTTCAATGTTCCTATTTTCATCCTTTAGATCTACTATCTTGGCATACAACTACGTCATCTCTTCTTCCTTTTTCTTCAGATCCCCTTTTTTTTCTTGCATACTTTCTTTCTTTTCTTCATATCTTCCTCAAACTTCTTCTGCTGTTTCTCCATAGCAGTGTTAAGATCCTTCGCCTTTTGGTTAAATGCATCCCTCTAGACCTGCATATCTCTTCTGGCCTTCTCAGCTCTCTGTAGTTTCCTTTCAACATCTTTCATGCGAAACCTGGAATACAAAACATTTTAAAGGCCTTGTTTCACAGGAAAACCCAATTCAAAAATAGGCACAACCATAAAAGCATCAACCAAACACTTAGAGCAGGCCAACAAACCTATAAAACCAGTTGAGCCCCATCTGCTAGAGGGACCATCCATGTTAGCCATACGCTTTTCAGCTGCTGGAAACAGGAGCTTCTGAGCAACTGGCCATATTTCATTACCAGTTCCCTCATCAGCTAAGAAATCAGTACGAAAGCTATCATCATAAGTATCTGATATAACAACCGGATCAATGGAGGCATTAGACCTAGTACGATGAACCCGAGAGGGAACAAGCACTCCAGGTTAGATAGAGTCTTATAAGGACTCTCCTCGATCTGTTGAACTGTGGTATCTGCTGATCTACCTTGAGAACCATCCCCCCTCTTCCTCTTAAGGCGAGTAAGAGCCTCTTCTCGAGACATCACATTAGCACTCTTTCCTGGAACAGCCAAAGTTAATGAGTCTCCGCTCCATGTTCAAAGTTTTACAGAAAAAGCTAAGTCACAGAAGTATACCTGAAGCCATAGATACACTAGCAGCTGAACAAGTTGGTCACCAAAAGTCCTATCAGGTACAGGAACCCGGTACAAAGCTTTCACCACTTATTCAAAACCGTCTTCTGGCTTAAGGGCATCCAAACGCAAATCTGCAAAGAATTAAGGTAAAACCCTTAGTTAATATACCTCATCCAAAGACCGAAAATACATAAGATTGAATGACTACCTTTATGCCAACCGCTTCTTATCCACCTTCCATATTCCCCTATAGAATCTTTCATAACAAAAAAAAAAAAAAAAAAAAACCTTGTCTTCCATGTTCGATCTTGAGTTTCATATCCAACAATTGGGGGAGGGTTAACTGAAGCTCGCTTGTAAATAGTCACCCTATCTAGATCCTTTTTCCTAAGTTCATAGCATCTAATAAAGTCAGTTGCATTCATCTTCTCCTCCCAATTGGTTGTAATTTCATCCAGCCTACTCATTACCCTCCAAACCGCAAGCATCAGTTGGCCTGGACTTAGGTCAAAAGTCTCTAAAACTTGCTAAAAAGGATAGGTGAATCCATTCCTAAAACGGAATTCATAGAAGATAATGTTATCCGTACTACAAAGCTGCAGCCTGTCCTCAGGTCCACGTACGAGCAAACTCAGGGAACCCAGCCTTACCTTTAGTTCCTTCAACCTTAGTAATTTTGCTAGCTTTGTCCTCATCGGCCTTCCCCATCTTGCTTTGATTCACTCTCAAGTTCCTATTTAAGTGTCTATGGCATTTTTTCTTAGTAATGTGCTTAATTTTTACCATAATTGAAGCGAATTTCGCAACTGAAAATAATGAAATCAAAAGAGCAAAGGGAGCAATAACATACCAGGGTAAAGAGAATTTGCAAAGCTTGACTCCACCACAGCAAAATCCCAACTTAAATTGCGCTTCACTGGTGTCGATTTGGTTTCCCCAATTTTCGCAAACAAAACCCTAGATTTTTTTATTTGAAATTATCTTGAAGTTTCTAACTTGAGGAGACCTTTATCCACCTATTTATAACACGCATTGAATGGGTCTAACGACACAAAGTTATCCTTTCAAGGGAGTTTATCATTTGCAACGGATTCGAAAATTCGCGCTTATCTTTTGATTTGATAATTTTTCCGCTATTTATCTTAGCTTATCTTTTTGAGTAATTAAGCTTGCTTCGTAGAAGTCACTAAGACATCTAAGAGTCAAGCTCGGGGCAAACTGTTATGCCTAAATTTTCATCACAGGTTCGCTTGTTCGCAGATTGTTAGGTTACATATTGCAGGTTGTCATATGATCAGCTATCCAGTTCCAGATACTAAGCAAGGTCGAATAAGGACTTTTCCAAGGAATATTCCAAGGGTATCTTAATTGAACAAGTCAAGAGAAGGTGCCAAGAATATCGGAACCATAAACCTCAGCTTGCCATTGATGAAGACTAATTCAAACTACAATAGATAAGCACTCAAGGAGAATGGCGAGGAAGTAGGAACAACCTCAGCCCACTAGCCCCGAATTCCATGGAATCCGGAATGAAGTCGTTGAAGCCTTTCAAGTTAATTCTTGTGCTATAAATAGGAAAGTAAGCATTGTATAAAGGCATCAAAAATATTCCAGCCTTATTATTCATAGCAATTAAGTATTCTTTAGCAATCCTTAGCATCGTTATTATCTACTTGTAAACCTAAATTGTATTTGTTTCAACCTGACAACCTAGTGGATTGGTGAACTCATTGCCACCCGCGGTTTTTACCCTTCTTCAATTCCTATGGTTTTCTGCATCACCATTTTGTGTCTCTTCTCCCTTTTCCCTTTTTGTTCGCTCTTTGTATATCTTCTATTTTGATTTCTAGAACCTACATTGCCATTTGCATCCCTGTTAATCTAGTTGTTGTCATATAGAGTCTGGTCTTATCTGGCAGTCAGATTTTGATCTAAACATCGCGCAATCTTGGTTACAACTGCAACATTTAAAACGCGTTCCATGCATTTAGGTCCCGAGTTCCAATCCTGTGTTTGCTATAAGTGCCACTTTTTACACTAATCAAATATATTTATTTATTGTTAAAAATTTTTTAGTAACAATATTTATTTGAATAATATTTGAATCCTATATAATAGTTTGCAAATAACGACGATGTATATTATAATTATTTAAAGCATCCATTTGTCAATGTGGTGAATATCCTGTAATCTTGGTTACAACTGCAATGTACAAAACGTGTTTCATGCATTTAGGTCCCGAGTTCGAATCTTATCATTTTTAATTATAAGTGCCACTTTATTATTATTTTTTTTTTGAATGTTTGTTTAGTTATAGTATATTATTGAATAGTATTTTCATCATTTGTTTAGTAACTGTAGATATTATACTATAGAGAATACATAGGTGTCATTATCAGGTTACTAATATATAGTATTCAAGACACTAAAAAATTTGTATTTGTTATTAAATTAATATATCATTTTAACATCACGTAGAACTCGATTCTTCTTCTTCGTCGAACCAGAATAGTGGATTTTAATCAGAATACATGTTCTTTGTACAATTCCAGAAGTTTGTCAAAACCAGATCACTTGATTTAAATAGCAAAAAATATTTGTAACATTCAAATTAAATAAACACTACGATTATGTTTGGACTAGGAAAAAAAAAACATCAACAATAAAAATTGAAATTAAAACATTATTGTTCAATGATTTTATAACATTACTGTTCATATAACATGCTTTGTAGATGGAGTATGGAGCATGAAGTATTGAACACTAGGATCTTGAACATCAGGAATATGAAGTATACAACTACGTTCTTGAACACCAGCAATTTTATTAAACAACAAAATTAAAAAAAAAAAAAAAAACTCATCGAAAAAGGTTGCCACCACTAATGGCTTACCTTGAGAGTAGCTATTGATGATGAAAGTGGGTGGGAAAGGTGAGCCCCACAATTTTTACAATTGGCGCCAAAATAATACTCCCGCCCAAAAGTCCTTATTGGCGGTAAAATGCTGAATTCCACCCCCCCCCCCCCCCAAATTTCCCTCTTTTATTTGGTAAAAGGTGAGGTGGCAGCTTTTAGTTGGGACTTGGGAGTGTATGTAGGCTCCACATACACCTAGTGTATGTGTAGTAGCTCTCAAAAGAAATGGGAAGATCATATTGGGACACTCAAATTAACTATAGGACAGAAATAGTAACACATAAAGATCAAAATTTCAAAATTGTGCACTTAAGATCATGTAAAATGTAATTGTGCGGAAGCCGCAGAACTCTGAAAACGATAAAGATCATGAAATTATTTTTAGTATATATATGAATGAACATACACACTTAGTTGACAATACAAGCACTGCACTATGGAGGGTCTAGAACTAACATAAGTTCGACCCACTAGCCATGTTTCAGCCAAGGTTGGGCTTAAGTTGGCACAACACATGAGCTGGCTCGCCCAGCCCACTATCATCTTCTCTATTTTGCACATAAGAAGAATAAAAAAAAAAAAAAAAAATACACACTTTTATATTTTGTGGCTTTGCCACCAACTAACCTACACATTATCAATCAAAACTAGGAGTAAACCCTGATATGGTTCATCTATCTACATCTACACAAAAAATCAAACCATTTACAATTCTCTAAATCAGCTATGGAGCTCAGTGCTGCTGACTTTGTTGAGAAAGTTCGCTTAACTGGTTCCTTAGTGTGCCAACTCTCTTCTGCAAATCTACATTTGACATTCGTTCGAACTCCAACACACGTTCAAGCTAATACATAGTAACATAAAAACAAGTGTCAATTAGTTCATGCAACTATACTGTTAAACATAGAACAGAAAGGAGGATGTTACCCTTACCTTTGCTGCTCGTGCACTCCATTCACCTAGAATTGCCCTCAAACGCTCATTCTCTTCAATATACTGTTACAGAATATCACAAGAATAATCAGAGTATGAGTTGGAATACATAACAAAACTTACCGAAAAACATGTTTGGTGGGCGGTAAAATATTATTGTAAAGTAAATAACATTACATGTAATTTTGCAAAAAAAAGTCCCATGTAATTGACCATGGTAATGCATTGATGATTGTCCGAACCAAAAAAAAAAATTTCCAAAAAAACTTTCATTACCACTCGATATTATCTACAAAGGAAACATGTTTGGAAATGGAATTACATTACTTTGGTGCATAGATATTTGTAAAAAATTCAGAGAAGTATGAGAAATTCACAAGAATTGAGCATCATTTATAATATTTGATATTAGAATGTCAAAGAGATTTTAGACAACAAATCTTCTGGAAGTAAAACATACAAACTGACCTGATTGTTTGTGTTGCGAACACGCAGAATCTCAACATCCCTCTCAGCAATTAAGGATCGAGCAAGTTGTAGTTCAGAATGCAGTTGATCCATCTACATTTTTAAGACAATTTTTTAGCTCCGGTCACAAGATTTGCTACAGTCTGATTGATATACATCAGCATATTTGGAAAAATACAAACAAAATTTGCACCATGAAATGGCTTTGAGAGACATAGGGTGGTACTAAAGACATCTGAGGCTGCCCCTCAGGCATACAAATCAATCAACATCCCATGAAACTGTTCTGTAAGAAGATATTTCTTATTTACACACAACAATCAGCATTCAGCCAAGTACATATTACGCTGTTGATGGGGTAGGACCACCTCAAGATGAATTTCAAAGCCCATGTTAAAACATTTATGAGAAAAAGGGGTAGTAAAAAGAGAAATTAAGCAGGAACATAACTTTGAACACCCTCTAACAATCAAGCTTTCCATACGTAAAATATACTTCCTCTATCCCTAAAAGTATGGCAACATTTTTAATTATACTCAATTCGAGAAAATTTTAGACAAAATACGCTCTGAACAATGACAATCTGTAGTAGGGAAACCAGATTGTACCTCACAAAAATGCAATTCCTAAGCCTTGAGGCAGCTCATGCATTAAAATAGCAAGAACTATATCTGGATGTAATGTGTAGATCTACCAAGAAATAACCAATACAACTAATAGACGGATTATTAGTGTGATATGCAAGCTTGATGAAGTTTTTTTTTTTCACCAATTCCTACAGGAAAAGGATGTGCCATAATTATTTTTATAAAAAAGTCAAAATGGTCCTTACCTCTGCAGAAAGTGTTCGAAGTTCTTGATCACGAGCGGCCAAAAGATGGGCGAGGTCAGCCTGCAAAAGGAGTAAGCATGATATGGATCCTGATTAACATAGACATTATTCTCAAATCTGTAAACTTATTAATTATATGTAGGTGAAAAGATGTTTTAAGCTACAGAACCAGAACAATACGCACAGCACACCTTTATTTTTCAGACTGAGCCATAAGGTCAACTACATTGCCACTTCAATTGTACAAAGTTAAGTTTATACATATTTCCAATTCCAGTGACTTGTACATATTCAAATCTCCATGCTAATTTGAACTCATTGGGCAGACAAAGTTATTCTAGTTTGATGCCCACAAATTGCCCTGCCTGCTTTTCAATTACAAGAAGTTCACAGTATTCTTTTCAGCAACAAGAAGTTGACAGTAGTTGCAAAGGTGAAATTTTTTGCATCTCCTGATCTCAAGCTTTCAGCAAGGTTACCTAATTTCCCAATTGTTACATTAATACTCGTCTTCTAAGATGTCCAAACCAAATAATTATGATAGCAAATTGAGACGTCCATAGTCAGTCAACCCAATTCATGAAATTGCCACCAAGGAAAGGTCTAAGGACTGAAAAATTAAAAAACCTATTTTTTTCTCTAACACTTTGCTCAGTTGAACTGTCAAAACATTAAAAGCTGTTGCTATATTAGCATTCATTTCAAAACTTGTCAGGTTTCTTGCGATTCTCAGTTGTCTTTATCAGGACAACCCAAAGTCACAATCGTCATAGAAGCAAACTATCTGGATTGACACTTGAGTTAAGAGATACAATCACAGTCAATAGGTTGACTACTTTGTGCCCATTGTACAAAAAAAAACTACCAGATAGCACCCATTCAGTTGACTAAAAATAGCCTCGTTTAGACAATCCAACCTCATCAAGAGGACTTGCTATATATAAGCCGACAATACAGTGACCAGAGGGTAGGTAAATCCAACTCATTCAGTCCAGAATTTTCCAGACTAGCACCTTGAATGTGGACAATAAAACACAAAGAAAACTATTCGGCCACACAAAAATGAGCAGAAAAAGTTGAATATGGCAATATATCCATAGTTAAAAATCCTTAAAACAAGATGAAGACAACACCTTTGGATGCTTAAGTGTTGAGACAAATTAAACATTACCTGAGGAGTACTGCCATCATTAGCTCTTTCATAATTGCTCAAACACTCTTGCAGCCGCAAAATCTACATTAAACTTTTATTCTTCAGAATTCTTATTATGGAGTAGTTATTCGAAGAATGTACAAACTCTGGTAGGCTACATTTTATTGCAGCATTATATAATCCTACGAGTTATTTTACCTCCTCGCAAAGAAAATGAATGTTTTCTCGTTGATACTGCAGTAATGCCATTTGCTGATCAGAAAGCCTTCCATCATGATACCTGCAATAGTTAACAAAAGCGATGATAGAGAAAATTCTTGGAAGTTTAGGCTTCACCAGGGAAACTTTTAAAAACTGCACGTCAAAGTTCTAGTCTCTCCATATAAACTATAAACCATTAGAAATTTATATTCATCTTACCTTAAGCCTTCCATAGAACTTGATGATTGAAGTGGAGAGTATAATGATTTTAATACATCTGGCTCCAAATTCAATGAATTATACTGGTGAACGTAACCTGAAAAATATGTCAGAATTCTTTTATTATCTAACCTATGCAAAAGCATTTCAGGATAAATAACCAACTTGTTTGCACAAGCAATAAGCTAAACTAGGAATAATAATGTTTATGTTAAACAAAATCAATAGAATTCACTTCTAAATCAATAGAATAAAATCAATAGAACTCACTTCTAAACACATCCACTCTTGTCCACACAAACTTCCTTTTATTTCCTAGCCGTGCTTCTACAACTATGAATATCTATATACCCCCAACTGGAGTAATAAACAAAAATTTCAGAATGATCCATCAATTAAAAATTTAAGATCTCATACCATAATTCGAATTAATTGTCCAAAATGACAATCCTAGTAAAATTGCATATGTACTGAAGTATAGTTAACATACAAAATTAACAAACCTTATGAGCTTATCTTAAGCAGTTTGCTTGCTGACAAAAGTGTTTTGGCTTGTCCTATTAATCTAAAGTAAGCCTGCCAGTTCCCACAAAAGAGATGCTGAGAAATCAAGAAAGAAGGAAACTTACTAATGTAGGCAGTCATAAAAGATCCAGCAATTACTACTTCAATCAGCATCACGATCCTGCGAACATGACACATAAAAACAAGAAAGCCATGATATGACAAATAATTTGATATTAAAAATAAAAAAAAATAAAAAAAAACGATTAAAGTTCTTAACCAAGACCATGGTCATCCAGACATCATCCATATTAATTGATGGAGTAGTTATTAAATGTTTCCAGATAAATTCCCTTTCCTTACAATAAACCTTTTGCAGTATTGAGGGGCTACCACTGGACACTGGTATAATAAGAGGTGGTAAGCCCCAAACCTCTCTTCTGATGAGTATATGTTCTAGTAAAATTTAGGTCTTCATCAAGTTTAATTTAAATTTGAACAAATAAGTTAATGCAAACGGGCAAATTAATCAAAATAAATTACTCATATACACACAGTAAATAACCCTTCCCTATTCGCGATATTAAAATTATTTTGATAAAGTCGTTCGTTTATGATTTACCTTCTCTAAATAATTCCTGAAAGTGTGTGCCTTCAGGCTATGTTGCAAGTAAAAAAAATAGAGGAAATAGTTGTTAAGGCAGTAATAGTACTGGTGGTCAATTATTTGGTTCTATTCTGGTTTTCACCTATTGCTTGAGTCTGATTTACTATGTTGAGAGAGTAATGCAAAATTAACGATGTAAACTTAAGGACTAAACCAAAAATTAAAAAAAAAAAGCTATCTCTGAAGATATATGGAGTTTAGTCAAAAGAAAAAAAAAATATAAAGACTCCAAATTGGGTAAGGACCAAGGAACTTGGGGATCCCAGCCCTCAGCAGAGCAACCTGACTAAGCTAATCATAGATGCATACCAACAGACAAAACACTCAAATAAGAGTCCAAATCCTGACTGCCAAATACTTCCTCCGTTTCTTTTTAGTTGACACATTTCTTTAGTCACGTTTGCCAATGCACAACTTCAATCGTTAATATCTTTAATTACCAAAAAGCAAAAATTATAAAAAAGTTGATATTTTGAAAATATATCCCACGACGAATCTAACAAGACCCCACATGATTATATTTTTCATTACGTATAAATCACAAAACATAGTCAAAGAGAGGTGTGTGAATAGTGCTAAAGTCAAAACGTGTCAACTACAAAAAACGGAGGTAGTATGAAATAGGAAAATAACTTTTGGTGAAATCAATGCCCCATTTAAATGACTACTTGTAGTATAATTTCTGTTTTTAACTAATAATAATCTAGTGTATTCACATAAACTGGCAACATGCATATATGGCATGCATAGATAGAAGGAATATGAAATATAAATCCAACAGGTGCTGACTCATTATCATTTCAGAAATAAAGTTGCGTACAACCAACCTTCCCATGCTCTAGAGAAAAGGTCTACATGGATATATATTGCTGCACTTGATGGGCATGTTTCTTACCTACAAGCTTAGCACTTAATGTATTGAAATTTAGAAGTCAAATTCCCTATAGAGGCTGTAACTGTGCTCAGTCTGTAATATAGCTACTAGCAATCTCACCACACTTGATAATGGACTGCAAAAAGCAACTTCTGACTTTAGTTAACTATTCTTTTTAAACAGAGAAAGAATCTACTTATTTGGCTAAACCACTAATCCACTATACACCTTATAATGTGCAAGCCTATATTACTTGGACTCTGATGCTAGTGTGATAGTTCGTTACATATCTAGGTATCACTGTATCAGACTTGGCAGTTGGTGAGAATTTTGCATAGTTTTTGATCCAAAATGATGGCTTGAGTGTCCAAGCCCATTTTAGAGAGTCAAGTGCTCAAAATAGGCACTTGAGATGAAACAAAGATAGCAAGTAACATGACTGGGTTTATCCATAGAGTTTGATGAATGACTGATGTTTATCCAAAACCCTCAGCATTTTAAATAAACTTGGAAGTTGAATTTCAATAACCATCAATATTGGTTACAATTTTTTGGCTCCATTCATCCAACCAGATTTGCACTAGGAAGCAGCCCAAGAAATAAATTCTGATACCTCTTGATATGGGCAGCACTAAAACAAGCTCTAGGCATCATCTTGCCATCATATCTCTTATTCAGCAAAACAAAAAGGCAAAACTATAAAAGTACGAGAACTCAAGCCACTAATTGTTGGACTAAGGGTATCAAACAAAAGAGCTCAAGGGACACTTGACATTGAACAAGGGTGTCAACCAAGAAGGAAACTAATTAGGAAGTTGAACACTATGATGCAGAAAAGTTATGCCCTACATCAGGCTGGTACAATTTGCATCTGCACCATAACTCACCTTATTTAAGATGCCCAAGAATTTTGGTTATCCACATAGTTGCATCAGATATGCTTACCTATCATTACATAATGTATCTACTTCATGGATGATTTCTAAAGATTATGCCAATGGACAATGGTTGATAAAATATCTATTCACTCAGCAATTTGATTCACATATTGAATTTGGAGGCACGGTCTGTAGTCTACACTTTCACAATATCCTGATTCCTGATTGCATCTCAAAATCCACAACATTACCTATTGGCATCATTTGCCATTTAGCTTTGCTGCCACTCTGATCAACGACAACAATAACCTAAAAGTTACAGTAGCACAAACAAGGAAACCACAAATTCCCATTATATATATGCTCCACATATCACAATTGGCGACAGATCTTTGTAGCTCTAAACATGTTCCCTGTTTTGGAGGGGACTTAAGGGGAAAACTGAAATGTGCAAAGATTTAAGTTCAAAAATATAAGCATGAAGTTCAAGAGAAGCAAATACCTTAGTGTTGCAGAGGAAGACAAAAAGCTGATTTTGGGTTCCCAAACCACAAGAAGAAGCATTCCAGCAGTCCCTGTTGAAAATTTATCAGGAAATAGGTTGAATACCTTGCATACATATAGAACAAATGAAACAAGACAGCACAAAACAGATAAAAAGTTAATGTTGAGCACAGGTCTAACATAATGCACTTGTCATTTATGCCCCGTAAACGAAATTAGAGATTTCAAAACTATCAGAAAATTCAAACATACACTTAGCAGCAAAGGCAAAATATCTCCTATAAGGAAAGGTGTTTTGTTAGAAGATTCCATTCTCAAGCAAAATTCATCTTCTATTTCATATATCATAATACCCCCCCCCCCCAAGTACCCCCTCAGATAGTTTTTTCAATTCAACAAACTTCACAGGATTTTATTTAGGGCATTGTGAATGTAGTTCAGATGATGTCAAATAGTTAACAAAAATCATACTCCTAGAAGGACAAACTGTTTTTATTCTAATAAGAGTGTTAACTGAAACATGATACATGCAGGTATATCTTTCAAAAGGAGTACTATTTTTCAAAACTGGCAACAACTATACTATTTAAATGTACGAGCTGACATAGTGGTGTTATTCAAATTGCCAAGACATTTCAACTTATGATCCAAAGATTGCATGTAAAAGGATGATGATAACTTATAAGATGATTTAGGAAGAAAATACCATACTTATACACATACCGTATGAAATGGTGGCAAATGGAAGGCGAACAATATGCTTCAACCTCTGGCTAAGCTTGTAGTAACCCTAATGTAATTAAAACACAATACAAAGAAGTCAGACATTAAATTCAGAAATATTGGCATAAGATGCTAAAAAATTTACAGATTAAAAGGATACAGAAGGAAACATTAATTCTAAACAAAAGAAATCGGATGTTTGGATTCACACATCAGCTTTCTACAAAAGAATGCAGATGTTCTTATTCACAAATTAAATTTAACTGAAACAACAGAAAAGTCGCTTAGTTATATATCAATTCATCATATCACTCCATTCATTTGTTTGGCAGGTATACTATAGAATCACATCATATCATAACCCAACACCTCTAACAAGATGGTGGGGTAAGGGGAAAATCAGTAGTCAGCACAACTACAAAGAGGTTTTTCAGCCAGCCCCTAAAATCAATCACCACGAGGTAATGTCCATAGGCCCTTGAAATTGAAAGACAACTGAACGGCCTATGTTCACAGCATGTATGAAGAGCAGGACAATTAGGTGTGACTTATAGAGACTTTTTCAACTCCTTTGAAGTGGATAATGCATTCCTTTGGCAGATAGTAGTGAAAATTGACAAGGATTTCAATACCAGAAAGTGATAGTAGTGAAAGCTAACAAGGATCTCCATCTCAATACCAGTAAGTGCTGTTATAGTACAGAAAATGGTAATATATCTTTTTATTACCTGCAATCGTATTTTCTGTACTTGGTACACCAGATATTGTTGAAAGATCCCTGCACATACAATCAAAGGGATTTATATCAACAAAGAAGCATTTGCTTTAATCCATAACTATGAGGCCCAAATTCAGAGCAAAAACAGAATTCAAATAGTTAAGACCAATCAAGTCTTGTTAAAATGAACAGAAATATAGATTATGTTTTATCACCATGAATAACAAATAAGGATTTGTTATTAGATAACAAAGATTTCATTACAAAGACAGGGCATCCATATAAAATAGTAGGGCTGATGACAAATTAATGCCCTCATCTACAAAATATAAAATGTCAAGTGTAGCTCAAAAATTAACATTTGACTCCAATAAACAATAGCCCCCAAAAAAATGAACTTAAAATCTTGACTTGGGCAACCTCTATGCTTAAAAATCCATTTAGTTATGTTCCTTCTAAACCACCAAATAATCACCAACAAGGCCAAGGATAAGTCTTTCTCCTTCAACACAAACTACAAAGGTTTGCGAGGAAAACATTTCCTTCTCTTCATAACATCTTTAATTGGAATATTCTCTTTCAATGCAGGCCCAAGCAAAAAATATGCTTTAGAAGGGGCTTTTCATCTTTCAAATTTTAATAGCATGGAAAACCAATAAGTTTGTTTCAAAAAATACAAAACCTCGTAATTGGAATGGAGCCAATCTTATTATGCAACCATATCATCTTGTCATTCTCCTCAAGGTCAACCTCTTCAACACAAAGACTCCAGACTGACACTTTCAGCTGCTTTAACACATAGAAGACCTTTAGTTATAAAGTACCCTGAAGCTAGTACTTTATCACTACTCATTCTTTCGAACATTGGTTCAGTCCTGCAGACCAAACACATTAGGTTATCTTGAGAGAGTTAGGTTCTTACCTCTATTCCCGTTCTAATTCACGACTGCATGCACCACAGTTTCTCTAAAAGATAGATCAAACCCTGATCTTTACCCAAAACCCATGTATGGAGTTTAGATTAAAACCCAACCAAAACAGCTTCCAATTATCAATCTTGACCATTGCCCAAAAGGCCAAATCCCATGTTAGATTTACACGTTTTGTATTGATATCTGAAAACATTCATCCATCACATGTTCTCTTGCACGAAGTATTAGCAAAAATCCAACTCACTTTGTCCTAAAGAGTTACATGAGAGATGAAAGAAAACTCTATGTGGATACAACACTGAAAACTCTGGTAATTTAACGCAGCAAAGCCCTTGTCTATGCCACAATATGTCTCATGTTGTCACTTATCACAATAGCTGGTAATGTGGACACAAGCAAATCTATTACTAGCAAAATTTTAATAAATCTTCAATCCTTTCCTAATCTCTTTCAGTGGGAAGTGTTTGGGGTAAAAATACCCTAAACACGTGGCCCAATGGCCTAGTGACACGTGGCATCCAGCCGTTGGTCAGCAGGGCTCCAATCCTATGCTGACACGTGTCCTCTAAACCCTAAAAGGGAAACCATCCCTTCCTCACTATAAATAGTGGAAGGACCCTCATTAATGGGGGGCTGGAACATTTGTTGTTCACATTGAATACTCCTCAAAAAGAAAAACACTTACCCCGAGCAATATTAATTGCAGAATTCTCCCATTACGCGAGAAGTAACTTCTACATTACGTGCATTCTACCTCCCGTATCTTTACTAACTTGATCGTCGGAGGCGGAGCTCCTACCCCCAGGAGTCTTCGTGATTTTGCAGGCACAGGCGTCGAAGGGCATTCTTGGAATTGTAACTCTCCCGCAGGACACATCAAAAAACCCCGAAACAGGAAGGGCACAGAACACAATGCCATCAACACAGAACAGAGGAGAGAAAGCCAGTTACGGTATCATCTTTGCCCATTCTTAAGCCTGCTAATGAAATAGCTTTATAGCAATTCCAAATCAACAATATTATGCACCAATCTTGAATCTAAGAGGACTTTAAAGAATATAGATGAATCAAGTAGCCGACTTTGTCCTTGTTAACTCAGCCAACATGTACTTAAAGATAGATCTTATGGATGTCCTAGAGAGCAGCTACTAGATCCATCACAAACTAAGAAATATGCTAGCAACTAAAAGAAACTATAAGATGGACAAATTCAATATGCAATTCACAACCATGACATATATTGTCCTATATGAAAGACGTTTACTTGGATGAACCTGTGATCAATAGAAGAATAACATTGCAGCTGCAAAGAAGTGGTGAGATCCAGGCCTCAAGAGGTTGAAAAATCCATGGGGCTCCAACCCCTACTATGGCATAACCTACCTAAATTAAAGGAATGTAAGATTAGAAGAGACAAACTATATCCTTGATATATATATTAAAATAATAATAATAATAAATAAATAAATAAGCAAACAAACAAACATTTAGAAATTGTCAATAGCATAAATCTGAAACAGAAAGTGTGCAATTAGGTTTTCCTTAAATTTTCGGTTTCTGAACTTTAGATCATACATAATTCAGAGCATCTTTGCATGGATAATGAAATGGTAATTGGCAAATAACTTTAGTGTTGAATACACAAACAAACTGAAGAATGCCTTTGTAGACTGTCGAATATGTTTGCATAAGAAAGATGAAATTACAATATTCACATATAAAGGAAGTTCACTTGCCAATAATATACAATAGACTATACTCCCATAGATTTTGGTGGGCTTCCGATGTGCAGCTAATGGAGCATCATTCAGTATATCCAAGAATCTGACAAGAAATGGATCAACGTTAGAGAGAAGAAAACATAATTTATCCAAGGGATCAAGAGTTCTCAACATAGAAACAATTAACATGTAGGCATGGAACCAATCCTATTTTTACCAGAGAAGAAATGATGTTGTTTATTGTAGAGACATGATCAGACCTCAAGTGTCATATTTGTATGAATTAGGACGATGTGGCTTTAATAAGTATATCCAAAACATAGCTTCCATTTACAAATCAAACACCAATATGACCTAATATGTTTATCAAAAGCATTTCCATTTGGTTTCAAACTAAGTAAATACACTGCCAAAATTCCGATTTCAATAAGTAACAAAGACTAATTTCATCCACATTCCATGCTACAACCTTTCTAACTTGCGCATGTTGCCAATCCTTCACTTGGAAGTTCAACATTTTAAAGCATAAATTTCACTTCACCAACAAGCAACCATCAACCTCCCTTACAGCTAAAGTAACAACAAACCGAGGTTTTCGACTACTCGACCCCACTCAAACATTTAATTTCACTAATAATCATTGTTTCAACATCCATATCACAACAATTCTACTAAATTTACAATAGCACAATCTGTTTCCATCCAAATTTGCACTAAAACACAACTAAACTGACAAATTCAAGCGTGTCGATGCAAAATCAACCAAAATTAGGACGCAAATTGAGAAATTAAACCTCGAATCAACAAAACCACTACAAAATACAAATCACATGGAAATAAAAAAAATAAAATGGATCGAAATCAATAAAATAGAATTGATCATTACAGTAATTGAAAAGGAGAAGAGAGAGAAAATTACAGGTGTTCTTCGGCAGCAGTAGGAGAGGAAGAATTTCGAGCGATTGACATGATTTAGATTGGATTTAGGAATCTGAGATGATAATGATGAAACAAAATATGATGAATTTTTGAATTGTAAAGTGTGTAAATCCAGAAAATGTGTGTCGTACTCAGGTGTTTTAACGTTGGATTTTTCCGCTTGTGCTGTGTACTTCTCTCCCTTGCTCATATCCCCACTCTGGCATTATTGCATATATGGCTCGATGGGTCGATTAGTTTGGGTCAATTTGATTCAAAAATAGTGTAAAACTAAATATTATTACAAAATATGAAATTAAGGTCAAATTGGGTCGAATTTGGATTGTTCGGGTCGGGTTTCTCTTAGTAACTTCAGGTCGGGTCAGGGATTGTCAGTTTTAATTTTAGAGACTCCATTAGAGATACTCGTATTTGGAGAGGTGGCAATCACCAAAATCAAGTAATCAAGTTATTTAGATTAGGTAATTTTAAACAAGAGTCATAAGACTAATTAGAATTGATAATTGTCAATTTGGTACGATGGGATCAAGTTAATTCATCCGGATTTGAGAATCAGTCCTCCCAATTGTTGTTGCGGGGGATCGAACACAGGTTCTCCCTATCAAGTGCATTCTCAATCACCACTGCACCAACAATCAATTGGTTATAGTGATCCTAATTTTAACATAGTGACATATTTAAACTCGTGCGACCTTTAATATTGTTACCAATGCTGTGTTAAACATAGTAACCTTAATTTTAACATAGTGACCTTTATTATTCATAGTGACCTTTATTATTCATATTGACCATTATAAAACACATTTATTTAATAAAAAAATAATAATAATAATAATTAACCTCTTATGATCTTTATACTAACACAATAACTTTTATTTTAGCATAATAACCTTTATTTTAACATAGCAATTTTTTTTTTAATTAATATAACGGCCATAGTGTCCCTAATAATAGTAGTTCACAATAAATTATTGTGAACTCGGTCAATTTAAGAATTTGTACCAAACCCATACTTCGTACTTCATGTCCAACTCATATAATACTCCATGCATCAAAGAAATTAATAATATTCATTTTTGAACATAACCTAACGCATGCTATTGAAAATCAATTCCAAATCACGTTACTTAAATTTTATTCCTAATTCCAAGCTCATGCTAGCTTGCTAATAATTTTCATTACGATCTAGCTCAAATTGAATTTGGGTTAATTCATTTAGTAATTTAAGAGGAAATTGTGCTAAACTATTGTACACTTTCTTTTTTTTTCCTACAAACTCTATATGTTACTTAATAATTGAAACACTTTCTAATTTGGCATGAAATCACTAGTAATAAATCCTCCCTCCATTCCTTTTTGTTTGCTCTATTTCAAACCTTCAAGTTAGGAGAGATAAATTTAAGTTTTGAAGAATCACACTTATAAAGAAAAGCATATTCAAACTTTGGCTAGATTTATCGCGACATATTGTTAATTTTTTATGATTTTTACAATGATATTTATGTTCGAACAAGGAGGAAGAAAAAAAAAAGGGGGGGGGGGGACTATCTCTCTCCCACTAAAAATTCTTATTATTTTGGGTAAATCGTAGTAGGTCTGACAAATAATATAGGGTGAGAAACTGAAAATCAAAGAGAGGATTTTATATTACTATTTACTAAGATTTAAGTATAGTAACTAGTAAGGGTAAATTTTAATCTTTAGTAGGAAACAATAATTTAAATGAGGTTAGTGGGAGAGATAATTAATAGAATTTTTGCTTAATATGTTGGTCAAATCTTGTACGACCTAAATAGCTCAATTGGCACAGGATCATAAATAATTACAGTATTAATCTATTTTACATAGAATATTTTGTAAGAATGCCTATGAAGCCATGACATCGAACTCTTCAATTAAATTTTATTGCCACATATTACCACCCATTAATAAAATAAATAATTATAGATTATCTTTTTTTTTTTTTTTTTTTGACGAGAATTATAGATTATCTTAACTACTTCACTTATTTACCTTGTATCAAATGAGCTTATTTTTATTATTACCAACTCTGAACAGATACAACACAAGTACTTTGAGACTCACCAATTTGGTACATCCCATATCCCACTATTCTATGTATGCCTTAGGAGAGTTCTTAATCTTCTTATATCAGAGTTATAAATATTTTATACAGAGTTGCTTGAAAGGAAATGACAATGATTTACAAGCAACACAGCCTAACATCATCAACTATGTATAAGCATTCTGGTTGTAGCAACGTCCTCGAACTTTGAAACCAAAAGAAAGCATAATTTGGAATCATTCTTCATGCGTTTTTGAAGGAGCTTCATGCTGATACAACGGGATATGATGCACATGTAGCAACACCTGTAACATGTTAAAGGAAGTTAATCCCAGTCAAGTACAAATAACGAGGGTACTAGAACTCAATACAAACATCAAAATTTACAGTTTGTTGAATGGGTATGGAGAAAAGGGGGTGGAGAGGAGAGCAAGATAAAATAGGGCAGGGACAAAATTGGAGTGATCTATCTGCGCTGGAGACTCACGTCCGTTAGGTAACCTAGTTAAAGCGGCCCGGATCCTTGCTGTCAACAAGTATGGATTTCACTTGAAAGAATCCTGGACTCTATATATACATTACTTGACTCTATATAGTTCACCCACCCTGGTTCCACCAATTGTCAGCCTGTTCAGCTGACCTCAGAAAGTTCCAGTCATCCGGAACAGCCTGATCTTTTCTAGGCCTCCTTCCTGCGGAACTGGGGCACAACCCTAACCTCCCTTCCCCTAATCTCTCTTTCCCACCCCTCCTCCCACTAGGATTGCAAATCATACTACTTGGAAGGAAGAGTATCAGTATACTTCCTTTCCCTTCAGATCTAATAAAGGCGGAAGGGAAAAAAATCCGTCCAATATCCCTCCCTATCCCAATATCATATCCAAATAAGGAAACTCCAATCCCCACTCTCCCTCCCTTCTCCATCTCTCCAGTTCCTTCATCCAAACACGCTATGAAGTATTTACGCACGTCACCCATGATAGCAAAAGTTCAGGACAAGAAATTTTATAGTATGACTATGAGTATAGATTCTTTCACAAAAGTCTAGGTCAGCATAGCTATTTAACTTACCACACATGTTTTTGCCCATCTCCATCTTGAAGTATCCATTGTCACCCCAATCTTCTCCCCATGAATTCTTGATAATCCAGTATGGGACCCCATCTTCCACCCCATATCCAACAGCAAGAACAGCATGGTTCACATCCTGCCAAGCAGACAAGATAAAATGAGTGAATCATTATGAGAAAATGTGATACGAAGCATCAAATACATTCAAGCCTCAAAAGATTTTGTAAATTTTTTGAAACATTTGGAATGGATATTCTATGTCAATTTTGTTCTTTCCTTGTAGCCTTCTTTCCTACATTCTGTTTTAAAATTTTTACTACTTTCTAGAGGAAGATCTTTTAATTTTCACCAACACAAAGATTTCATATGTTTATATATTTTTTTTTAGGTGGCACCGGGATATTATGAGAGTAGAATAGAAAGAACTAGTGAATGTAGCTTTCACAACCAATGATTGATTGTAGGTTAATGACATGCAGAACCACCTATTTACTCAAAAAGGAATTTTGCTTTTTTAAAGTACACAAAAATTGGACATAATCCAAATTCAGTACATGTATCTCATAAATTATGACGGCCTACACTCTGGGGTTATGCATTGATCTTAAAACTCACCATGGGAGTGCTGCCGCAAGTTGTACTGGTGTAAACTCCCTCCTTATAGAACCTGAATCCATTAACAACCTCAAATGCAACACTCACAGGACGGACGAATGCCACAGCATCCTTGAGTTCATCTTCAGCTCCCTACACATGCCGAAAAAAACCGTTAAACAATGTCCAGTTTTAACCAATATGAATTATGGAATAGCTTTGGTACTTCAGCAGTTAAGCCTATAAAGTTTCAAATTTTAGATAACAATTATAGTAAAAATTTGCATTTGCTTTGACATAATAAGGTTTCAAAATATAGCCTCTCATGACTAGCTGGAGAATTAAATTGCAGGCTTGCAGCTACAGGAAACATTTCCAAGTGTTAACATGCTAATTGCCATGGTGCAAAACTTTGCAGGCACACTTTGTCCTAGGATTGGATAAAGGTGAAGGGGCAATAAACTTCAGCTAACATACTCCTTCCATTTTCATCTGAAGTACCCATATATTGTAAACTTTAGTTTCTAGGAAAGTTGAGTGGGTGTAAGGAAAAGGACGATAAAGTAAAGAAAGATGTAATAATAAGGTGGGTGGGTGTAAGGAAAAAGGTTGATAAACTAAGAGAGATTGCGTGGAAAGGCCAAAAGGGGGGCAAGATAGTAAATATGCATGCCAAAAATAGACTGTAGTAGAAGTGGGTACATCAAATAATAATAAAACACACACAAAAAGTTTCCATTCTAACAAAAGTTGCATGCATCTTTCATATCTTTGTTTGCATATATATATGCGTAGGCATTTTCAGTGACTTGTTAATTGTTACTAGTTCACATGAATTTTTCATCTCAACCCATTTGTAAGCATATTCAGATAATTTAAGGTCCCCTCTCGCTTTGCATACTTTACAACTGCAGCTTAGGAATTAATGGGATCATGGGTACTTTACTATTGTTGAGAATCCTAATATGGATACTTCCGGTAAAATGAAGAGTTCTAGTAACATGGGATCATGGGTTACCAAATCAGCTCTATTGAAAAATAATTAATAGTTAATGAAAAAAGTAAATAATAGGGGAGGAAAAAAAAAAACACTCAGTCAATGCTATAATATGGTAGTAAAGCTAATAAAAAGGCAGAAAAATACATCTTGCTGATCCTGTTTGAACTCTCCGAGAAAATATGATTTTTTTTCCATTGAGGGAACCAAAATTATATGATTATATATGAATATAAATTTAATTATAGTGTCACTCTTTTATCTGTGATAATCAATAATCATAATGCAACGACGGCCAAGATTGTAAGTGACTTACGAGGGTGATATTGACGGAACCATGGACTTGAACGCCAACATTTTGGGCTGAGAATTTACATTCACCATCCTTTCCTGTGTATGGATAAGCCTCTTCAGTATCCAGACCCCCATTGTACTTGATATATTCAAAAGCCTGTGAAGGCAAACCACCATTGCAACCAAAATTGTTAAATGCACCAGCACAATCAACAAGCTGTTGCTCGGATAAGGAGATATTCTTCCCAAATGCCTGTGCATAAGCTGCCTCCAAAGCTCCAGTAGTACTGAGACAGCATATAAAGTTAGTATGTATGATATAAAGATCGTACAAACATCCATACTGTATATAAAGATAAGCGGACCTGAATGTCCAGCAAGATCCACAGTGGCCTTGATTTTTGACTGGGCTAACAATGCCCTTAGCTCTCCAATCTTGCTGCAAAAGTCACAAGGGATTGAACTGACATGAGATTCTAATTAAAAGCATATCAGTTTCCTCAGAACAAACAGACAATCGTGGGATTACAATATCGTTTCTATTATGAATACACCCCAATGAAATAAAATACAGAGACTTCATTCTTACAAAACGAAAGATGAAATTAAAATAATAAGCGAACCACTGGAAAACAATACACCGGCAGTTTGGTAGAGGCCAAATTGTATGCACCAAGCCCATTAGCCCCAAAGGAGAAAGGTTCATAACTTCATAATAAATGAATTTTGTGAGTGGCGTTATGATAATAGTGTAGTCCAATGAATCTTGCTAAAATGGTAATTACAGACAACAAAGCAAAAATGAAATTTTGGGGATATTGGGAATAGGTCAAGTGTTTTTCAATAAGAGTATACCGTTTGAGGAGCAACAGCACGAGTCAACTTGTGACTTCCCTTGAGGGTGGCAGAGCAATTTTGAGCAGCTCCCAATCTATGCCTTTGAAACTCTTCCCACGTCCAATCAGCAAATTCTAGGTAACAGAAAATGAAATGCTGGTCAATAGTTTGTCAATTTAACAGCTGGATGTTTAATGTCGCAAATAAAATGATAGTTAGAGGGCTCTTTCTCTGGGGAAGGGTTTTGACAAATAAATATCAACCAAACATTTTACAATAAATATATCCATATATAAACACGAGGAATGTTCCAGAATCTAGTGCCCTTCACTGTTAACTATAATGTGATGTTTTTAAAGACAGAAATAAATCAAAATTCAAGAACTCATCTAACCCAATATTGGCATTCTCATTTTTTATTTTTATTTTTATTTTTATTTATTTTTTTATTTTTTTATTTTTTATTTTTTTTTAACAGATTACATTCTCATTATAATTAAGATTGTAATGAAGTTAATTTCGCAATTTGTTTAAGAGGCACATGGGTTGGTGAAGCTCACATGCATCATAATGTAAAAAAGTACAACTTAGAGCTATGGAACTAATATACTCCCAGCATATAACAAAGTGCACCTCAGCGATAAAGCCCAAAGCAATAGGAGTCAAATGCTTTTATTGGGCTAGGTGAGGCAATTTTTCAAAGAAGTTTGGGAAGGTGCAGTGGTGGACTGAATGAGCGCAACTTCCTTTGTTACACCAAGTATTTTAGCTCTTATTCAGTGAGGCACATATCATACATTTGCGCTAGGAGTCCAGGCTCTAGGATACCTAAGGCTACCTTAGTGCACCTTGAGCTTTTTTAAACATGCCCTTATAATCTAATGTTGCTTGTAATGATGTTTAAATCAGTTCAATAAATCACTTCAGTTCAAAAAACATCTCCAAGGCTGTTTTAACAATTAATTGTACATTGAACTTGGTAATCTTTGAATGAGCTTATTTAGTTGTTAATTGAACTTGGTAATCTTTGATTGAGCTTATTTAGACTTATTAAAAGACTAAACCTATATTTCTATGAACTTACTAAAAGACTAAACCTACAGTACTATGAACAAATTTTTTTTAGGTGAAATTAACAATGTCTTGAGCTACCCAAACTCGATTCACAAGAACAACAGCTACAACAAGTTCTTATAAGGTTACTCAAGTTCAATTCACAACATCAAGTTTTAATAAGTTCAGACAAGGTCAGCTAAGGAAAACACGACCTAAATGTATAATGACATTTACTACATATCGATATGACAATAGATGCCTTAATAGGTACTTAAATATCATGTTAGACAATAGATGATAGTATAGTAAGAAATTTATCCCAACTTAGTCTTGGATTATGCTTAAAGATTTGTATTGACATGAGTCGATTTTAAGTCTAGTAACCCCACAAGGAACACAGGCTTAAATGCTTAATTATGGCAACCTCTTTAATATTAACATAAATACAAGGGAAATTACTTCAAAACACTTGAACACTAAGCCCAACTCTGTATTGACATGTAAAATTAGCTAAATTTAACAAAGAAAAGGCTATGGAAAAAAACTATATTGACATGTAAAATAAGCTAATTTTAATTAGAACATAAAGTAATATTTTTTATTGTTAGATGCAGATTATGTCTAGCTATTACAAAAGTTACTCTCATATAGTGTAATAATTTGTACATTAGAGCCACAAAAGATGGTGACAGGATTCGATCTGTATTAGTCATTTACACCCGATACTTTAATCAACTAAACTAGTCGACATCCACGCCTTATTAATAATATATAATTCAACAATTTCAGATTATATTGCCCTCGTGACTCATTCCGACAATAAAAGTAATATAATTCAGATTAAATCAAGCAAAATTTTCAAACACAAGAAAACACAAAGATAATAAAATAATAATACAAAAAAATGTAAATTATGAACTTACGATTAACATGAAGTTTGTATGAAAGCGCCTTCTTATTAGACGATCTAATCAACTTCAAATTCTCCCGATAAATTTCAAATCTCGTCAACATCTCATGAGCAGTCTCATACCTCTTCCCATGTCTAAAAAAATCCCAAAAAATTCATCAAATTTTCCACTTCAGAGTTCAAACAATCAATCATTCAATAAAAATTAAAATTAAAATTTAAAATTAACCTGTGGATGAATCGAGCGAAGGAGAGAGCATGACGAGTGTTTCCGAGGAGAGAGAAAATGGAAGATTCAATGTCTTGTAAACCGTCTGATACTAATCTGATGGGATTTTCATCAGTGAAGGTGGATGATAAGGTTGTGGTTGCGAAGCAGGAGATTATAGCTGCTGCTACTAGTAGTAGGAGAGAGAAAGTTGAAGCAGGAGCAGAAGCAGCCATTGTTGTTTTTGAGAAGTAAAATGAGATGAGATGAGAGGAAATGAAATGGGGGTTGAAATTTAAAGGGGTTGGAAAACAGCAATTATTGGGTTTTTTTTGAGAAAATTAATTTTTTAATTTTTTGAGTAAAATGGGGGTTTTATTTTATCTTAAAAAAATGATTTAGATAATTTTAAAGATTCTGGTTTTTTATTATCCTATATTATGGGGAAAATAATGATATGTTAAGGTGACGTAGATACTGCTGTGAGCAAGATGGTGATGGTAGTTGAAATTGTGTCATGGTGTATTTTTTTTGATTTTTTTTTGGGAGCTTTGTAGGTTTGGGAAGTATTGAGAGGGGATTTTGGTTGGGTTATTTGGAACGAGTGATCTTATGTCATCCGAGTATTAATGAAATTGTGAAGTAGCATATTTTTTTAGCTAACGTAATGAATAGTTGGATGTAGCGACTTTAGAGGAAGGTTGTATGAAGAAAGAGAAAAAGTAGTTGTTTAGTTGTAAAAGAGATGGGTTGTGTATATGTCACTGTATGACGAGTTATGAGATGATGTAATGGAGTTTCTATCTTATTTATACTCGATCCTTAAAATTCTACTTTCAAGAGATATTGAAGCAACTTACTTTTTTAGTCGTCATTAGCGAAAAATTGGCTTAAGCCATAATAGAGAAAGGTCATATGATGGGAGCAAAAAAGGTGGTTGTTTAGTAATAACATAATTAAGTTGCGCAAATTGCAAGATATGAGATGATGAAGTGCTAATAAGTGATAACTAATGAAATAGACTGTGGTGTTGCACCCATAGCTATGGTGATGTGCTAGAGAAGGATAATGAGGAAGACGGAAGTGAAAAAGAAAAGGCATGATAACAACAAACACATGGATTGAGTTCGTGGACTCGAGATATTCGTATTTCACTAGCCCTATTTTTGGAAGTTTATTTATCTAAATCTAATAAACTACTAAATAACTAAGATTCCTTTGTTCAAAAAAAATAAATAACTAGAGATTCCTTAAACAACGCATAAAAAGATTAATGAAAGTATGACTATTTCTTTTATCATCATTAGATTATAAATCTGATAAATAATCTATAATTTTTTATTTCAATCTTAATTATGAAGAAAATTATCAATTTTACATATCACTCTATCACAGTAATCATTTCCCACCCAGGAAAAATGATTTTTACATGCGCTCGAATGCACTACCCCTAAAACGGTGCACCAAAGGGTAATGTATGCTCTTTTTTTTCTTTCTTTTTTTTTCTCATTTGAAGATTTTGAAATGAGCAAACAAATTAATAAACGAACAGAAAAGTATTCTTAGGTGTATCTAATTATAGGTGCATCCGGGTGGCGGGTGCATATAAGAATTCTCAACTTAGGGGTGTATATCCAATTCGAAAATAAAAGATGCTTTTTTTTTTATTGGGTTAATGATCCATGATCCATTAAAAAAAATACAATTGGAGTATATAATGCCTTGAGAACCCAGTTTAAATAAGCTAAGAAGACTAGTTACAAAACTTGATTAGCTGGTTTTTTAGATCTAAACTCCTCAATCTAATTTGTTTTGATTCAAAAATATATATTTCAATAATTTTCAACCCAATCCAACTAATTAGTTCAATTTGAATTGAAATTTGGATATTTACATGAAATAACGAACAACTCGAGAAAAGAAAATAAAATAAAAAATAAAATAAAAAATAAAAAAATAAAATAAAATAAAATAAAAGTAGAAATATGTACAAACTACATGGGATATTGCTAATAGGAGTCATTCTAAACAAATAAGGGGGGCAAAATGGTAATTCGCGTCATTAAAGGGTAATTAATTTAAGACTATACCCATCCTACTATGCATGTATATGTATATAATACGAAGTATCATTAGAGTATATGTTGTCTTATTGATACCATTATTTCTCACAAAGTCACAATGATATAAATGATTTACCATTTTCAAATTTATTCGCATCACTAGAAAGAAAAAAATATATATATATATATTTCATCACACCATTTAATGTCACTATCTACCTATTTAGTGGTATCTTATACTATCCAAATGTCAATATTTACAACTCTGTCATCTTATTCATTACAAGACCTATGCGCTAGGTAAGATTTTCTCTTGCTAATAGGTCTCTCATTAGTAATTGTTCTCTTAGATACATCCCTTTCGTAAATATTCAAGATTCGCCTTTAATTTGTTAAATACAAGTATACACTCCCTAGCAAATTTTCGTTGATAAATGATCGAAAAGCAAGTACACGAATCTTGGAAGAGACAAAGCCAATGTCCAACTCTATTGGATTGATATGGAGATATTTTTGCAGGATGATTTTTACCATAGCTTCAATAATATTCATAAATTATGACATTAATTTATTTATTTATTTATTTTGAGGATTTGTGGCTTAATGGTTTAATTTCAAAGTAACAACATTTGAAGTCCTCTTTCGCCTGCCCATCACCATCAACTTTTCTTATCAGATCTTTTATTTTAGTGTTTTAAAATTCACTATAATTGAACTTTCATACTAATTTAAGTAAGAGTTTTTCATCCTCCTACGCAATTGTTTTTTAAATTTTTGTTAATGACTCTATTTTGAGAGTCTCTTTTAAGGCAATTTCTAATTTGTACTAGGTTATTTAGGTTTGAAGTATGGAGTATATAAAACAAAATCCATTTAGATGTAATGGCAAACAAACATGCTAAGGGTGTGTTCAATTCACTTTAAAAAAAAAAAAGTTTCTAGGCCAATCAAGAATAATTAGGGCTAATCAGATCTAATCATGTGTACATATAGCATGAAAATTAATATCAAGGCTAATAACTTCATATACGTTTAGATAAACATCCAAAACGCACCCTAAGAAACACACAGAAGCAAGTGTTGTCACCACACACCAATCCTCACCATTGTTTATAATACATTAATTGTAACTTTCTCTGTTCCACAAATATTGCAACAAGGATGAAATTACACATCCCAAAACACATTTTATATGTTAAATATTTATAATTATATAAGAGTAAAAATTATAAAAAGTTGATATTGTGAAAGTATTTTACGAGACGAATCTAACAAGATCCCACAAGACCATATTTTACTTTACGTATAAATCATAATATGTGGCCAATCAAGCGTAATGAATAGTGCAAAAGTGCAATTGTTGCAATATTACTAGAACGGAGGAAATATATATTACTCCCTCCATTTCACTTTGTTAGTCCCATAAACTATTTTGGGCGTTTCTAAATGATATACCCATATGGAATATATTCTTAACATTATTATAGGGTTAATAATTTTCAAAATCTATGAATAATTAATGTAATTGGGTGTTTAAAGAGTCAAATGATTTTGATTGGTTAATATATGTGCTAGTGGATTGCTGACATGGCTAATTCGTCCAATCAATATTTATTATAGGTTGATTTAATTACAATCAATTCCTATAAATAAAACAAATAAAACAGGAAAAGAAAAAACATTAATTACAAAGTTGCAATCAAATTTCAAATTACTAGGATTCTTTCTTTTCTTATTTTAACTGATTGATTCCAAAGGGGACTAACAATGTGAAACGAAGGGAGTACTTTTAGTACTCCCTCTGTTTTTAAATACTTGCTCCATTTCTACTTTTTGCACTATCCATTTGTCCTACTTTGACTAATGTTTGTTATTTATACATAAGAAAAAATATAGTCTTGTGATTATTTATTGGAATCGTCTCAATGAATAGATTATTAATTTTCAATTATTAGAATCTATACTGATTAATAATTAAAGATGTTATTGATCAAAGATTAGTGTCGGCATACATATACAGGAGAAATGGAGCAAGTATTTAAAAACAGAGGGAGTATTTTGTAAGAAGAACTACCTTATATGATTAAAATTCCACATGAGACAACTCGATTCCATAAGAAATCTAAGCCTTATAGCTTACTAGTTTTATGCCCAAACAATGCCCGGATTGTTGATAGAATTTAAGAACAAACTTTTTAGTTTGAATGTTAGCATAAATTTTTTTTTTTCTATTAAAATGTTTTTCAAGTGAAAAACCCGTAAAGTTCTAAGACCTTGCTAACATTGATATGAATTCACTTCAAGATTCCCTTGTATTGTACAGTTTCTGGTGGGTCCTAATTTTAGTAGTTTTTTACTTCTTTAATTTCATTAACAAAATCACAAACATACACAAAAATATTACAACCGAATTTGAAGAATACCTGATTCAAAAGATTTAATGGTAAGTCAATGGTAGACTGAAAAAATTAATGATACATGGCCATATTTATGACTGTAATTACGTGGTTATTTGTATAGGAGTAAAATTCTATTGTTAATTGGATATCATATTAATTATAATATGTGGTGTGTTGCTATAAGTAAAATTCTATTGTCAATAATTTTTTTTCAAAAGATTTATAAATTATTTTATGTATACTTTTTTTTTTTTATCCTAAACAAATTTATCCAATTTTATCTAACGTGACATCTAATCTAATCAAATATGATCTATTTGTCGTCTACTAGGCTCAACACTTGGAGAAAAACTGGAATGTCAAGTGTCGCTGTCTCGTGGCAAGTTTTGTACCCAGACAATGCCAGGTTGTTTATTAAATTTTAAATTTTTTTTTATCTATATGTCAAATTTGATTACATACTATTGATACAAACCATGTTATGTATGATGTGTAAATCTCTTTTGATTTGAGATATTTTGACATAGGATATTATTGATTTTCGTAAGTATTATACATAAATATTGGAATTTTATCGGAAAAAAAAAATCTCTAAATTAACTTTTTTTTTAATCCAAAAAATCTATTAGAACGCATCCAACTTTTTTATTTAACAAAAATATATCTAAATAAATCATGTGTCATTGTCATACTAATAATTAATTGTTGCTTATGTGGCGCGACACTTGACAAAAAGTTGAAATGCCAAGTGTCGCTGTCTAAATATTGACCATCTAGTTGTGTGCTCGGGCAATGCTGGATTGTCCTAAACTTCATGTTATTATCTAAAATATTTAGACATACGATATC